TGGGGTTTATTACGAATCAACTTAACGGCCTGCTCCCAGTTGGCTTGTTAGCTCAATTGGTAGAGCGCTGCACTAGTATTGCAGAGGTCAATGGTTCGAATCCTGTACAGGCCTGGTTTTTTTCAGGTCTGATTTTCACTATTGCATTAACAGCGCTCTCTACTGCAAGGATCGTGCATCATACGTATCTTATACCGCAGTTCAAAATATATGTACTTCATATATTCATTGTATCTGACAATAAAAATGTTGTTTTTTTTAGGATTTTGAAAAGAACCTTGGTCCCAAGCTCCAGTTTATTTTAAAGTTGAAATCATGGTGGGCACCAAATTATCACACAGATTGGTGGGAAAAATATGTGTACTGCATGGGCCGTTCTCCTTTGCCTATCAACAGTAACTACTATTGTTTAGATCAGCACTGGCACCCAACGTATGTTCAAGCATCAAGGTAAGTATTAATAGTCTTTTGTCCATCTCAAGAAAATTGTCTAAATCAAGATTGTACTTGCCCTTTAGGAAAACTTTCATATTACTTTCCTGTCCTGTTAAGCCATTGAGTCAAGCTATTAACTAATCCACCTTTATCAAAGATTTGTTTTAGCATTTTGCATAATTATGTACACTTAGAGTTGGATGACAAAAAAATTTGAGGTGGACCAAATTTACTTCAAATTTGTATTTGATAAATTTGAAACTTTGTAAACCTGACAATGTATCTGAGAAGTACATGTATGCAATACAAACCTTGTTACACTGTATGTGTTTAACTATAGAGCTGCAACCATGAGCTACCTCATTCTGAAGTATTATCAGGAGATTGAAACTGAGCATCTTGAACCTCTGTTGATCAGAAAAACCATTCCTATCTGTATGTCACAGTATGAGAGAACATTCAAGACAACGAGGTAAATACACAATGAAAAGCTGTTTCCCTTTACACTTTAATCTTGGTATTTATATTCTCCATACTGTTCTCTATACATTTCCTTTGGTACTGACAGGGAGAATTTGTTTATTGATCAAAGCTTCTTTGGTCAGTGATCATTAGATACTGGTCACTCTTAGGTGTAAAGGGTTAATATAATGGAACTCAATGAAAGAAATGATTCTTGCAGTTGAGCTGCAATCAAAGTGATTGCTGAAAAGATCAAAGTCTGAAAAAATTGAGGCTAACTGACATGATGATGATGGAACTGAAGACTGCCAACCCTTTCAGTTGACATACAATGTAAATAGAAAGGGCCTCATGTTAAATGGTTATCATGATCTCAAATCAGCTTTAAGTCCAGTTGAAAGAAGTTAACTTGAAGTTGTGAAAAATGATTAATAAGTTGTTTCTAATTGTCTGTAATTTCAGAATTCCAAAAGAGGATGTGGATGAAATTGTTCATTTTGAACATGATGAACATGAGGTTTGCAAAGAAACTTATGTATTTCTAAATCTATTAGATTTTAATGGGTTATTTCTTTCTTTACCTGTTTGTAGAGAATTTGTTGTCCCATGGGGGTTTAAAGAATTTAAGATTAAGAGCCATTGTTCTGATCATCTTACAGCACATAGCTGTCTTTTGTGGCGGGAATTGCTACATGTTGCCTGTTACTGACAAAGGTAAATTCATTTCGGTGCTGGATTTGGAAAGCCAGTTTGAGTGGATTGTTGCTGATGCTAAACATTCTGATGGTAAGTGTGCATCATAACTTATTGTTTATAGCTTAGGGTTAATCCTACGAGAAATATAGTCCCAGCAGAATCCTGTAGAGTAAAACAATACAGTACACAATTTCCATGTCTTTGTAAAGATACATGTAAGTTCTTTGGGAAATTGACATTAAGCTGGAGAAAAGAATTTAAGAAATTGGGCAGAGAATTCTCTGATGTCTAGTGAACTTTCCTCATATTTATATTATTCATGTTTGATTTCTTTCTAAATCTTATTAAAATGATTTAATTACTTTCACTGTATTTATTTTGTTTTTGTTTTATTTTTATATACAATACTAGCGGCCATGTAAAAAATTGTTAACACTTGCATAGCTGAAACTGGCAGATTGTAATTAATTTTATAAAAATGTAGTAGACCTAATTGAAAAAGGTTCTCCCAGAAAAGGTACAAATCAAAGACATTGTTTGGATCACTGAAGGTTATTTTTGCACAAAGTAAATTGATGCTTTTTTGCACTAAATTTAGTTACCAAAGACCAGCCTGATGGTAGTGTACCAGCACTGACAGCTCTGCCAAGAACAGAGTGGGCCAAAATCAGAAAAGAATACTTTTCTGAGAGTCTAAATCGATCAACCCTGGAGGCTATAGAAGAGGCTATGTTTGTGGTAAGATGACAAAGATTGATATTTATTTATTTACTAACAGTATCAACAGAAACAATAAATTATAGTGAGCTACTTTTAGAAAGCTTAATGCATTGATAAGCAATCTTCCTTGATATGTTTACATCATGTATGCATATTTTTGAATTAGTTATTATTGAGTACTCTTCAGCTAACTTATCTACACCTAATTTCACAGTCTGATCAAAGCTAAACAATTAGTAATGACAATTAGTGATGACAATTAGTGGTACTTGATAAAAACATGATAGCAAAAGTGTCAATGTATCTGCTCTACATTTTCTTTGATCTTAGCATTGAGAATGTGGTGTTAATCAACCCCTTCAGGGCTTGACACTAACTTTTCAACTTACTAGTCAAGTGGCTAGGGACACCTTAGATGTTTTTAGATGTTACAACAATTTCAGTCTGTTTACTAGCCAAACTGGCTAGTGGAAATTGAAAACCACTAGCCAAAACTGAATTTCTACTAGTCTGTGGCTAGTGGGCTAC